ATTTATAAACATATAACTCTCCTTAGAAACATACAGGGAAAAAAATGTGATGAATGAAAGCTAGAAAGCCCATGAGCACACACTTGCAATCGTTGCTTGTGGTATCCTGTTTCTTGTATGAAATGCAGAAGCAAGTAGTGTCTGGACCTTGCTTTCCAGTTTGCATTTCTAAATAGGAGGCGCTAGGGAAACACACTTGTGTTTGGTTTAAACAATGTCCATGAAAGTATTTTTATATTTTTTTAAGTGCCCAAGCAGGTAGGGGACCATTAGTCTTGTCAGTCCCACACCACCACAACCTGGTGACTGCAGCTGGCTTGAAATGACACTGAGCTGGTCCCTCCCTGCTTGCTGTGGTAGCAAAGGAGTGAGGTACCACATTACCTCTCGCGCATCCTTCCCACCTTGAAGTACTGCTTCTGCCTTGGAAAGCATCACTCTAGGGCAAGGGCTGCCTTCTCCTGCTGTGTGCAACAGGACTGTAATCCCATATTTGCTGGAAGAAAAGAGGGAGGAGGCAGAGGATTGGAGAAGGACCCAAAAAACAGCAGTAGGCAGATACGATGCAGCATCTTCTTAGTGGTTAAGGAAGGTTTAGAGTTCTAGGAGTGGTTCTGCTTTGGTTTAGGTGCCAAAGACCAAGGCCGAAGGTCACGCAAAACAAACAGGAGCTGCAGGAACCAGCTGGAATGCAAAACGGCATCAAGTGAGACCACAGCACGTATCAAAACTGCATCTTTTATTTCCAGATTTTAAATATTTTATCACAGGAAGAAAACTGAATGTGAAATTTCAAAACCAACTCAGAGTTAATAGGAAGGAATGAAGCGATGCTGCTTGAGAAGGGACCTCCCAGGAGAACTCCAAGTCATTTGTTTAGAAGCATTTCTTGAAAGTTTGACAACCTTCCTCAACAACCTTGCCCTGGCAGCGCAGGACAGCACACTGCTGCTCTGACCTCTGCTCCTAGGGAGCAGGGCAGGCACAGAAACCCTGAGCCATGGGCTGCCAGAGGATGCAAAATATCTCCTTGCTTTCAAGCTGCTTCCCACCACTCCTGCACAGCAACCAATTCATCACCCACCCTGCCTCCTCACAGGACAGAGGAGCCTTGCAGTGAAAGGTCCTCGGCGCACCCATCTTCAGGTGAGAGAGGCACCGGTGCAATCCTTTAGTCCCGCTGCACGTTGGGTGAGCCGCCCTGGCAGGTCACTGAGCGCTGGCCTTGCCCCTGCCCAAAGGCAGGTGCCATAAAAGCATTCCAGAAGGCAACGCAGGAGTTATATTCCCACCTGTCCGGCCCTCATGTCATCCAGCTTTTGAACAAGTGAGGGTCTTGCCACACTGCAGAGTATTGCTCGCTTGCCTCAGAGGCAGTGCTGCTCTCCCCTTGCCTTACAGTTTCCATACCTTCCTACAGAAACGCAAGAGCACAACACAGCTTTTGTGTTTCTGCAGCCCCATGCAACCGCTTCACAGTGGATTAATCCCTCTTGGACCCAGCTCTTTATTGCCCTGTAGCACCTTCAAACTGCTTTAAAACCTGTGAAAGGACCCTGGACCTTCCCACCACACGCTGCCCTCACACAGGACATTCCCTGGGCAAGGGCACATCTGGGGGACAGGGTGTGACAGGAGCACTGCTGTGCTGCAGGGTCTGCACTGTTGCACAGTTTTCCCCCATGAGGCTATAACAGCTAAATATATATTTTATCAGCTGTTCTAATTTATATCAGAGGCTGGACTTGGGGAGCCCCAGCAGCAAAATCAACACCATCCCCTGACCCACCACGCACACGCATCTCTCTCCCTCTCATGCATTTACCTCAGCTGAGTAAAATGTTCTCTTTAAAAATAGGACTGTTTTGGAGTTTTTGCTGTGATAAGTTACAACTCTTTCAAAGTTCACTCGTGGAAAAAACTACATCTTAAAAAATATAGCTGAAAGGTTTGGCAGTGATCCAGCAAAGCCGGGGGGGGGGGGGGCGGGGGGGGAAAACACCCATTACATTCTTCTTGCAGATCCTTTCATCAAGGCCCTGGGCACACTTTAGAAACTTAAATTAAAACCTCTAAACTTGTGTGAGTAGAAAGCCGCTACTTACACAAGCCTCTGGTTAACTGAACCAAAATGAAACAGAAGTGCCCCGTTGATAGAGAAACATTCCTCCCTCTGCCCACCTTCTTCCCCCAGTCCACCAGACAGAAAAATCTCATGTTGCAGGAGAGTCTGCAGCTTTTTACGTGAAAATCAGATGGCAGCAAAGATGTCTCCACACACCTGCGATGGAGAGCCGAGGTGGCTGGGCTCGGGGGGTGCACCAAACCCAGCCAGGTCACTTGCAGGGCTTGCACGGCTTATGGAGGCTGACCCACACACACAAATGATTCCCATGCCACCAGTCCAGCACTCTGGTAATGAATCGCAACCTAAATAACTTAGATTTTTGAGCAGAAGGCTGATCTTGGTGAGGTTCATCCTAAGACACGTAAAGAATGGGTGTCAAGCCACCTGTTAGCCGTTTGCTGCAATAACATCTTGAAAAGCTGAGAGATACCAAGTGACAACAAGATGGCAAGATTATTTTTAAAAAGAAGGGGAAACTGAACACCCACATCTTAATTGCAATCCTCAGAGAGACACAGGGACGAAGTACTTACAAGCACCCAGAAGAATGTAAAAAAAAACCAAAAAACCACCAAACTTTTTTTAAAACAAGAACAGAGCATGTCAGACCTATTTAATCATCCCTGCAAGAAAGCTGCAAGTCTTGTGGGATGAGGTAAGCAGTAGACAACATATATTCTTGGCTTTACCAAGGCTTGTGAAGTATGCTCCCAAGGTACTGTTATAGGCAAGCTAAGGAAACAATCTAAACAGAAACACAGAGGGACAGCACAAAATTGGTAGATAAACTATGTGCACAATTAAATTGTTAATAGTTTATGGTCAAAAATGGTTCTTTTTTCTTTCCGATGCCCTAACACACCTACATCTCCTTTCTGTATCCCCTAATTACAAACTGGGTGCCAGGCAGCCAGCGTACAGCTGGCTCAGGGCTGGGTGTCAGGCAGCTCACGCTGCAGCCTTCCCTTGGTGGGACAACTCGCCTGCCTCCTCTCCTTCATCCAGCTACCACTTTTCATGAAACTTGTAGGAGTTTAATGTCCTGGGAGCATCTGTTTGTCTGTCAAAACAGACTGAAACCGGTCCATGAGTTAAAGCATTATCGAGACAGGATTAAGACAAACAGACAGCAGGATCTTTCGCAAACTGGTGCGGAAAGCTGTCCAACAGACCCATGCAAATGGTGCTTCAAGTAGATAGGAAAAGTCAACAGCCTGAACACACAGTGGAGAAATAACTTGCTAGACAGCAAATCTGCAGGAGAGGAGCCTGCCGATTGCGAGGCAAGTGCAAACAGTGCTGCGCTGTCACACGTGCACAGAAAATCAAACATCCTACTGGGATGTGTAAACGGGACATAACCCACAAGGCAGGGGGGGGAACCTCTGCAGAGAGCCCCACGTGCAGCTCTGAGCACTCACGCCGCAGGACAGACAGATGGGGTCAGGGCAGCAAAAGGGAAAAACTGCACGAGGCTGAGCAAGCTGGAGCCAGCCAGCAGAGACAGAGGTGGCTGAACAGGAAAACAAGAGCAGTAGCCTTCAAACTTATGCAAAAAGTGCTTTTTCAAGGAGAAAGGGACTGAAGCACCTCCCAGTTCCTCGGGATACAATTAGAAAAACTGCCTGTCCTGTAAGGAAAGCAAAGGACTTCAAGAGATCATCTAGAGGTGCTGTGGTGTCCTCAACCCTTCCTCTGGTCAAAGGAAGCAGGCTCATAAACATCTGCCATGATTTCCATACGGCTGCTTTTGTCTGAGGACAGTGCTTTGAGTGTCACCCTGACACCTGACCTTACAACTTGGTGGGACCACATCTGACTTTGTACAATTAGGGGTTCAGTATCCCTTGACTTATAGGGACTGGATTGAAATCTCCTTTCCTCTAATGCATCAGGCAGCCTTCAGGTAGCAGAGCTCCTCAGCCTTGAAAACGTGAGCCCAGAGCATAGAGGAGCTGCCCCGTAAGAACGCGCATGGCTTTTTTTATTGCATGGTGCAACCTGGAGATGTCTAATATCAGGTCCCAGCCGTGCAGCTTCCTGACCCATAGACAGCCTAGGCATGAGGGGCTGGATGCTGTCTTCTACAGCAGTCCCAGCAAAGAAAGGAGCCAGAAAGTCTTCGTACACTCATCTCCAAGATGGCGTGGTGTCCACTTCTTCCTTCTGGGATCCAAGACTCCATGCGAGTCCCTTGGTCCCAATGGTCAGCAGGACTTGTCTTTTTGTGGATGGCTCTGGTACCCCTGCTATGTACTTTCTTCAGCCCCAGACAGCCTTGCTCAGTTCTTGTGTTCCTGTGACAGGTTTTGTGATGAAGACCCATTTCCTTTCGAAGATGATGCTCTTTGGGCACAGGCACTCTCAAAACAAGGGGGCAGCAGTGTCTGAGAGCTTCCCTGGCAAAGCCAAGTGCAATGCCTTAAATGGGACACCAATACTCCATTTCCAGCTCTGCCACTGTTTTTTAGCCTGTGCACCACATAGATTTTGTCAAGTCACCTGAAATGAGAAGCAATTTGATACTTTTGTGTCACAGTGCAAAAAGAGCTGTTTTTTCCTTTATACCTGTAGAGGAATAACACCACTTCCATCCACAGTGGGAGATGCATACTGCAAGGACCTCAAATATAGCACAATGAACAAAGTGTGAAATAGGTGGGTACCTAACCTAAGAGACAGGAACACCTGTTATGAAAACCCTATTTGCTTAGTAATTCAAAACCACTTCATTCCACTGAAATAAACACACAATTTCAAGGATTCATTGCAAGAGCTACTACAAAACAATAAAAAGCCCCTCTGCAAGTATTCAGTCCTCCTCAGCTGTCCAGCTCTGCTCCTTCATGTTACATCTGCCATTATAGACCAGCTAAGTTTTCTTGACCCCTCCAGTCCCTTGCAGTTCCATCAATTGGTCTTCTCCTGTGATGTTGCCCCTGTTGCTTTTTCTGAATTTGAAGTACCAGCAGAAGACACCACCAAGGGCCAGGAGAAGGATCAGAACCAGTGGTAAGTATAGGATGAAGTTCAGCAGTGGCGGGGATGAGCAGATCATAGACAAAACAGGTGGCTCTAGAGGGAAAAAAAAAAAAAAAAAAAAAAAGAAAAAAGTGAGGCCCCAAGCTAGTTTGAGTTTCTCTCTCCTACTGTTTCTATACGTTATCATCTTATCACTTTTCCCTCAATCTTCAACAGCTTTGTTGAAGCTTCAACCAATTGTTAAGAATTCGCAGAACAGCTCCGAGGAGAAGAGGGAGAGAAACCAGGTAATTTGCCTCAATTTCTTCTTTTAGGAGGTCAGATAGGGCCCTGGCTTGTTCAGCTGAAACACCCCACCAGCAACAGCACAGCTCTTCAGCTAATCCAGTCCAGACTGGGCCCAGTAAGGAAAAGCCACACACCCTTCAGCCCCCTCCCCCGCCCCCGCCCAGGTCCCTGTCTGACACCAGTGATAGCAGGATGAGGTAGAAGTGATAGCAGGATGAGGTAGAAGTCTGTCAGAGCCTGCACCACTGAACAAGGAGGGACAAGAGGAAAGCAAAGGAAAACAGATTAAGGAGGTCCCTCTCTCCGCTAGACACCTGCCCCTCCTTGGTTCTGCCGCTCTGCAATCCTATTTCAGCCACGCTGAGCTGCCCCCATCCCTGTCCCTGGCAGCTCCTGCAGAACAGCTCCCGCAGAACAGCTCCCCAGATGGAGAGAAAAATGCCTGTACTGCTGGTGGACCATACAGGTACTTCAAAAAACCATGTTTGATCAGTCCTGTGCTAGCTGAAAAGCTCTCATTTGCAGCCTCTCCATTTTTGTCCTGGGCTCCTTACATCCATCTCAAAGTGTTGTTCCTCAACTCTCCTCTTTACCCAAGATCCACATGCAGATGTTTTACGTTTGCTCTGCAGAACCATGCTGAGCATACGAGTCTGCTGATCTGAAGTTGCCCTTTCCATGAGGGACCTACACAGCCTGGTGACCCTAGGGATGAACCAACCTGGGGGCTACTTCTAGCTGTGAAACTGCCTTTTACTTTTCTACCTGTGAAGCTTTGCATCCCATCCGTATAGATGAAAGCAGCATTTACTCTCCAATAGGAAAATAGGGAGAAGTCTCCACTACATGAATGCCTCTATAGTACTAGGGAGGTATCCTGAAGGGCAGGATCAGGGGTTAGAGCTGAAGTTACTCCTGGTTATGGGTATACTTGCACATGGCTGTGTCATTTCCCCTTGGAAAACTCCAAAACATTGACATCTGCGAGACAGAGGGGCATTTTGAGATACCTGCATCACTGGAGAAGCACGCACACACAAAAAAAAAAAAGAGAGAAAAATCACTCAGCCAATCTCTTGGATTTTATGAAAACCACTTGGCAAAAACACTTACACAAAAATTGGAGGAGAATTTTCCAGCAGTTACTGTGCAATTTTAGTAATGGTTACTCCACCAGTAACGGGTAACAAGAGACAGAGGGAGCTGATGAAGGAGAAATCTGAGTGCTAGAGGGAGCCATGATGGACAACAGCAGGAACATAACAGCGGGGGTGTGAAGTGCTGTCAGTCCCTGCCTGTGCAATTAAATCCAGATTAGCTCTGCTGTAGGTGCAGAGTCATGTGAGTAGGCTCGGTGCATGCCTGTGCCAGTAACGGGCACAAGGGAGGGCTCCGCAGGGTCCCCTGAGCTCTTCCACCTGGGTCAGCGTTGGTAACTGCTGCAGAAGCCGTAACCACATGTGGGCACTCAGGCTGGCTTCAGACATGGCAACTCCAGGGCTGAAGGCATGAGAAGAACAGCAGGCTCCTCTCAGCTGGGTGCAACATGGTTGTTTTCACAGTTGTATTTTTTCCTCCAACATGGGTCATCCGATCCTCCGATTTCCCCAAAGAGGCAACAAGAGAGTACTTTTCCCTCCCAGTTACCTCCCTAAAACACTCTGTGTGCCTGACTGAAACCTTTGCTTTTATGTGAAATTCTGTATGCAGAATCCAAGTCTATTTTTGCATACGGCATGCACCCCAACTCACCTCAAGAGGACAGAGTCTGTTTTTAAGAGAACTCACTGGAAATTGACTTGCCAGAAAAATCACAGCAAGAATTTTTTCCCCCAGTTAGCCCTCTGGCCCCAGTGGTACAACTGAGAGCAGGGGGTTGTGCCCATGGTCTTCCAGAGAGCTCACAAGCTGCAAAGCACTGTGGACACAAGAGCACTGAATGGGACCCTTGGGACCACGTAATCTCACCGTCAGAGCTCCTGGTATCTCATCTGACCACCACCTCCGCTGTTTACAATGCCAAGCACCTGGGTTTCAGCCCTGGCAGATCAATGGGACTGGGACCTCACTGCCTCCCCTGCCAGGTCCATAGTGCATGTCCCTTGAAGGGCTCCCCTCTCTGCCCTGGCTCCCAACACAACTCTGGCGATCTCACTGTCCCCCACTGCGATCCCTTAGCAAGTCCTCCCAGCCCTGCTGCATCCTTGCCATTGCAGCCGGCATCACTAGCAGAGAGCTGCTGTTACCCGCCCCCCACGCACCCCAGCACGGGTAAGGGGAAACCCGTGCGGGGTGAGTAGCCCCTCACACCCAGAAGCATTACCTGGCGGGATGGTCGTGAGCTGGGTGTACCCCGAGCGCACCAAGGCTCGCAGAGCCCAGCTCTTCCCCTCACTCTGCTGCTGCCACTCCTGCACCTCACAGAAATACACCCCAGCATCGCTTTCCTCCACGCTGGGCAACATCAAGCTGAAGTCACCGGTGGTGGGGCAGCGGAGGTGCAGCCTCCCAGACAGGCTGTCCTGGGGGTACTTGATGGTGCCGTCATGGTGGAGGGTGAGCAGGGGCCTGACGTGGCTGCTCTCCTCCCCCCGAAACCAGGTGGCTGAGAGGCGGGTGGTGGGCAGGCGGGCACCCTGCAGCAGGCAGTGCAGCGTCATCTCCTCGCCCTCCCTCACTGAGATGCTGTGGTTGGTTTTCTCCAGCTGCAGTTCATGCTCTGGGTTACAATGCAAGCAGAAAGACACATTATGGTGTTGCACTGCCATAGAAATGCTCCTGCCTGCGCTCGCAGGCTGACAGAAATCTTCTGGAATGAAGCATGGGGGATTGGGATGGCCTCTTGCAAGAGTGCCTGCAGGACACCCACAGGCCCCTTGCTCCTGCGACTCATTCTCCCTGGGGTGTTTTTCCCCATCCCTATCAACTCTGTCCCCTGTTCACAACATTCTGCTGTCATACTTCCCACCCCCTCCAAGTAAGTGATAAAGCATCCTTTGGGCAAAAAGCTATTTAGGAAGCTGGAGTTCTCTGATGCATTTCATTTAGGGCTGCAACCCATAAGCCAAGCGAGGCTGAGAGGGGGAAGAACTGAGCCAGGAAGACCCACTGTGCACCCCAGCGGTGCAGTGCCCAAGGTGGGAGCAGTTGAGCCTTCAGCATTGGTCTTGGCAGCAATGTGCTGCAAGGTAAGGAAAACTCAATGTCTTGCTTCAGGATGCTCAGGACTACCAGGAAAGGGCAGCTTCTCTATTCACAGCACTGTACGACCAACCAAGCGCACCATGTGTTGGAGGGAAAAGAAAAAGAAAATGCCACAATTCACTTTGTTATGAAGCATTAGACATCATCTGCCAGTGGCAAAAATACCAGCTTAGTTGGTTTGGGAGGATGTGGTAAATCCTCCTAATTCCCTATTTCCCTTGGAGAGGCACTGACACCTCCTGCATCCTTAAGTCCAAGCTCCAACACAGGAGACACTGCTTCTCAAGTCCTGCCAGCTTAGGAGAGGCCTGGCGGGGGCCCTGTCATAAATTGATCCAAGCTTCTCTAGCAGCACCTATACAAGAGATAACTGCATGCTCACCTGGGAGCTTGAACTCCAGCGTGGTCCTTCCCGATGTTCCCTCTCCAAGTTTGTACCAGCCATCCACCAGCCAGAGCCATTCTTCTACCACACAGTAGTACCTGCCCTCATCACTGGAGTCTGCAGAGAGTATCTGCAGCCAGAAAACATTGCTGGACACCCTCTGGCTCAGGAATCGGGACTTTTGTGCAGGCAAGCTGAACTCAGACCCATATTCCAGCACGCTGCTGTAGTCAGCCCTTACAATTTGCAGAGGGGTTGCATCTGCTGAAGAACGTATGAGGTACCAGGTAACAGCAAATTGAGAATTATTCTGGGTAAACATGATCCTGCACTCGATGGTTGTGTCAGCACCACCGGCAATCTCCACAGTGCTCTCTTTCGTAGCTACCTGAAGCTTGCTTTCTAAAACAGAGAAATAAAATAATCATATGGGCTGCAGCTGCCAATACAGGGATGCTGGTAAGGAGAGGAACAAGGCTGGCCCGAGAGACCTGTCAAAAGAGGAGGGAGGAAGAAGGTGGTCAGAGGACTAAGACCCATTAGAGGATGCTGGCGCAGAGGGGGTGGGGGAAGAACACACCCTTATTTGAACCGTGACAGTGAATCACAGGGTGCTACTGGGCAGGGGAGTAGCAGAGGAGTCACCTGGGGGACCACGGGGCAGGAGCAGAGGGGTGGAGGCAGCCTCTGTGTTACAGCTTGGAGGCAAAGCCTCTGTCTGAAATGAGCATGTCTACCACTGTCTACCACTGCTTCTCTATCAGCAGGCTCACACATAAGTGACAAAACCAGCCCACAGCTTTGGAGACTGTGAACAAGTATCTTTTATCTCAGACTACAGAGCGACTACCCATGCAGGGGTTTCACTAACAGTCTCCATCTCAGGTCTTTGCTGTGGTTATTAATCGGAAACCACATAACACTGTTCTGAACATCCACTGTGATTATACCCAGCAAACATTCAATTCAGTGCTGAGCAGTTCAGGAGAGGAAAGCTGCGGCGCTGCCTGCAGCTCTGCCACCGCGACAGGGTACACGGTTGCTCCCGATGTGCCTGTGCTGCTCCTGGTTTGAAGGATCCCTTTCCCATTGCACATTGCCTGTTGCTGGCGCCTTTCCTTCTCCTTCAGCAGCGGAAAGGCTGCAGAGTGGTCTCTTTGAAGGGCCTCCAACTGCCCGCATTTCCCCTTGGCCCTCCCCTCCATGCTGAGACACCACCTCTGTCAGATGGGGCCAGTCAGGTGAAGGAGTACACACAGGTATCTACCCGTGGGTAAACGGAAATGACTCAGCACGAGACACCATCAGAGTTTTAAGGGACTGTAGGCTGAGTTTCCATTCTTAGCATTTTCCTACTGCTCAGCTCCTATGCAAGGATGCCCTGTGCCACAGAGGCTGGGGGCAACCAACCTCCCTTAAGCTCAGCCCCTGGGTGTTGCTTCGAGGACGGGCTGCAGACGACATGCTGAGATGCCCCCGCAGAGCCTCTCAGCCCCCTGCCCTTGGCCGCAGGCTCAGCAGGGCACTCTCCTCTGTGGCACCTCCCCAAGGGATGCGATGGCAGCAGGGTATGGAGAGGGAGGGTATGTGGACCAGGAGGGATCTGTGGCTTCTCCTGCAGGGGCTGATGGGGACGCCACAGGAGAAAGCCTATGCATTTCCCCTTCTTTCAAGCATTTCTTCTCAAAACTCAAGCAATCCACTTGAGAGGCCATCACTGTCTCTCTTGAGACCGATCAATGCAAAAATATCCCAACCAATGGCTCTCAGCATCCCTGCGCATTGCCTCTGCCTCAATCTCAAATTTGCCAACAAAGTCTCCCTGCTCACGTCCACTTACACTGCTCTTTTCTCTTTGCACTTTATTGCTCTTCCTCTCTCTACGCCACAGACAGACACATTTTCTCCAAAAGGTTGACAGTTTCCTCCACAGCAAGACTTGCACAAGACCCAGTATCTGCTTAGTGCCTCACCTCAGTGGTGAGGATTTCAGCAGCAACATTCACCGGGAGGTGTGGGAGGTGGCTGCTCCCAAGGGATCAGCAAAGTGCTGTCCTGCATTTCACAGTGCACATTTGCTGCTCTGAAGAAACAGGTAACGGCAAGAAGGAGAAGAGACCAGAAAGCAATCACCCTAATTAGAAAGCTGTGCAAATTCATCAGGTCCACAGATGCAGAGATCCAGCAGACTTGAGGACACTCAGGAATCAGATTCAAGTTGATGCCTTCCAATTTCAGTACTTAAAAGCATACCCAGCCCAGAGCAAGTTCTAAGGAAACACAAATCTTTAGAGAGGGACACTGGAGATACTCAAAAGCTGTCTGGAGATTGCCCTGGGCAACCTGAGCTCCTCCCGGCAGCGCTGCTGCAGTCAGGGACAAGTGGATAAAACCCAGGACCTTACCCCAAACCCAGAGAGGCTGCCAGCACAGGAGACAGCAAACTGCCTGGGGGGGGGGGCTTAAGTATGGGCTTAAGTATGGCCCGGCCTGACACCTGCCAGGGCAGAAAATACTCCAGAGAAGCAAAAGCTACTAGAGCTCAGAGAGGAACCACGGGAACTGCTGCTGTGAGCACTTGATTTTAATGAGAAAAATTGCTGTTATGCTCTTGGAGAAGATCACCTCAAGAGGAAGCAGAGCACTTGCTGCAAAGCCCCTTCGTTTCAGCTCTATGTCTCCTCTCGCTACCGCTAAAGATCAATTACCAAAAAGGACAGAACAGCTGCCTGCCTTTTGCTTTGATGCACAAAGATGTGGTGCTATTTTCCCTTTCAATTTCTATTTAATTAACCAAGCCGAGCCTCTCGCTACCCGCCTCGCTGTGAACCCTGCCTGCTGATGCCGCACTGTCTGCCCGGCCCGGGACCAGCAGAGCACACAGAAGGAGTGGAGGGGCAGCTGGTGCAAAGCCCCCCACGGCTCGCTCCAGAGCTGGGGGAAGCCATCACCGGCAGCTGCACTGAGAGGCTGACGGGAGCATCCCTGCCAGGGTTGGGCAGCAAAGCGCATTACGGCTGGGTCTCCATCTGCCTGCCATGGGCACTAATTATGGGATTCCACCAAGGGTTGGACGCTGAACTACCTGGGAAGCTAGAGATGGAAAGGACCCATCCTCCTTCCCCTCCTGTTATGACCTGTCACACATGTCCCTCCCCTCTGAAGCTACAGCCCAGATCCACAACGGCATTTAAACTCCTAAAGTGCCGACTGACACCGAGTGGTAAATAAAGTGCTGAAGCAAAAGTCAAGAACTCCAGTATCTCTGCAGGCAGCAGCTCCAACCATGAGATTTTATATGTGAAGAAACAGGCTGGTGATTTTCATGATTTGCGGCTTCATTTTCTGCAGCTTCGCCTCATCCCATTGCTGCTAGAGCCGGCTTCATTCCCAGACTTACTTCTCTACCTTCCTAAACATCCTTCACTGGTTCATGCTGCCTTTCTCAGAGCGATGATGCTAAAGCTAGCAGCCACCTCCCACTGTGCATCGCCCCCTCCCAGTTCCCACCATCTTTACAGCATCGCAGTATCCAGTAATGGCTGCAATACGTTTGGAACCAAATGACATAATATCTTGCTGCTCCGCTGCTATCATCTCCTCTGTATAGACGATCTACAAATACACCTGCTCGTCTTAATGCCATTTGCACTACTACTGTTTGCTCACAGACGCTGTGTGTGGTCACCCCTAGTGATATGCCACCCCGGGGCTGACTGTAGCGCTCCGGTGTAACACAGAGCACCCCAGCACCCAGCTCCGCAGGGGAAAGGAAAGAGCAGGAAGCGGAGCAGGAGGGAGAGCACCGTGGAAGTGAGCCCAAACAGCAAAGGGAATGTATCAGCTTATGCTACAGCAAACCCATCAGCTGAGAAACATGGAAAATGCATAATTTCAGTTCACTGGGTTGTGATCCCAAAAATCCAAGGATTAGAGGAAGAAGCACTTAATGCATGAAAAAAGAGCAAGAATTTTCCTTTGCTGGCAGAACAGACACAAGTAAAACCAAAACAACATGTTCTCATGCCTGCCTCTACAGGCTCAGGGGTTTTGGCTGAGACAACCCCTTCCTGCAGCAGCCCTAGCCACAAGCAGAGTGAGCCAACACCGTGCTGCTGCTGGAGACGGCAGGGAGCAGGCGCACGGCGGGACAGGCGGGGGGCTGCGGTGTATTCGCAACATCTCTCTTCCATAAGAGGACAAGGCTGCCTGTGCGATGCTGGCAGGCGTGGTGGCAGCACGGACCCTGCCTGCAGAGGTGGCCATAAAAGGGAACCCCGGGCAGGGCCCCCGGCTACGCAGCCCAGCCATGCCTGGGAGGAGATACCTCCACCCCGAGCACCTTGCAGCTCAGTGTGGGCTCCCAGCCCGGCAGAGAGCCCTGGTGCTTTCTCAGCGTGCCTTGAATACACCAGGGGAAGCTCAGGGGGGACGTGGACCTCTTCCAGCACCAGCTTTGTGGGCCAGTCTCTCCCCACCACTCCCCAGAAGCCTACACCATGGGAGGCACCTTGCACCCCCAGCAAACCATGAGGCTCCTTAGAGGGACTACTACTTCCCAGAAACAAGGCTTAAAATCCTAGTGGCAAAGCTGATCCCTATATGCTTAGCATAATCTGCAAACAAATGGACATTGCTACTCCCCAACACCAGATTTGCCCCCAAGAGTGTTGTAAGGAGCTGTGGTTGCTGAGGAAGAGAAAGAACATGCAGCACCATCTTGTGTGGCCCCAGGAGGTGAGCCAACTGGGGACACCCCATCCATCAGTGGTCCTGGTTGCCCCTGGTTATGGTTGATGGATTTAAAGTTGCAGAAGGAGAGATCGCTACTGAAAAAGCACCCATGGTGCTGCTTACCTGGCAGTACCACCTTTATCCCCACAGCGTTGGACCTGGTGGTGGCAGTTGGCTGCCCCTGCGGCAGGGGGTTCCTCCTCCAGACCTCCACCTCACACTGGGACGTCCCCTCCTTA